CCCCAAAACCCCAAAACCCCAAAACCCCTAGATAGCCTAGATATATTGAAATAATATATTATCTCAATGAAAATGATTAGATCTCCAACGACAAGAGCTCAATTTAAGCGTCACTCTAGTAGCCATTTACTCACTGTCAAGAATAATCTCTCATCAGGCCCTCAAAATAAAGACAAGAGACAACGAGATTTGTCAAAACTTGCTCCTTTGCTTCCAACAAAAAGGAGCCCTAAGAACAAGACTGGCCCCAAACGAAAATAATTTATTTAAACGAATGGGGGATACTAGAACAAAGCAAAATGATGAGTCCCCAATCCAAAAGAGAAGGAGGCTCGGTATGATCGGAGATATGCGTAACTTTAACTTAGTGCCATCAGCTGTCATGAAGAACAAACTGAGTTACTACTATACAGCCTACAACAACAAAAACCTAAAAACGTATTATATGACATTTGACGAGAACGAGCATAACTTCACTGAAGAAGACGTAAAGATTGATGATGACTCCAATTTCGACTGCTGGAGGCTCATCGCTGACTTCATTCTGAAGGCAGAGCAGAAGCAGTTCAACAAAGTTATCAGCAAGTTCAGGAATAGAGAGATTCATGAAATGAAAAACAACATAAAAAAAGCTCAGAGAGTATTCAAATAAAATTGTCACGAAGAATAGAAAATTTGGAAGGCTCTTTAAATAAAGTAAGTTTGCACCTACTAAGGTTCGTAGATCATTAAACATACGTATTCACAAGTTGGAATATCGGAGAAGAAAGAAATCAGCGATGAAATGAGACACAAAGTATCGGAAATTATCAAGAACTCCCTAGACCTGAAGATCCAAGAAATCAAGGTTAGATTTAATAACCATAAACGCCTGATGGCTTTGAGAAGAAGAACACGGAGGAACCGTTCATTACGAAATGAATCTAAGAGCAACACTAGCCAGGATATTGATTCTGTAAAACCTTTTGCAATCTTGGAACCCCTGCTTGAAAATGAAGAGCTTCCAGACTTCCCACTTTTGAAACAGCTAGATCAGTCTGGAACTGAAAGCCAGAAAGAAGACTCCAAGTACAACATCAAAGTATCCGAAGATTCTTTCTCATCTAGTTCATCCGTGTCGTCATTAGAAAAATAGTGATACTCCTACAAGCACCAGCAAAGATTTGTTGTCTAAGCTGATAGACAGACGAAAGCCAGCGTCAAACAAGAAATCCAAGTTCTTGAAGAAACAGCACACCATGATGGGTGGGCCTAGGAGGATGTTCAAAGCAGCTTGATTGAATAACAGTAGAAACACAAAGGATAGCAAGGACTTTGATGCTATTGAGAATTCTAAGATAACTGTTAATAAAGAAGATGACCAAGAAGCTCAAAATAAGGACCAACATATCCCTCATAAGTAAGCCATTATATAATTTGAACCCCTCTTGGAAGTGTATAACTAATACTATACAATAGAATTGCTTTGGGAGGTTTGAAAACAACAAGCAGCTTCTTGCTTCCTCCTGATCCAAACCAATTCCACTACAAGATGCTAAATCTTCCATCAGACCAGCTAACTCCAAAGACATCTCCCAGGGTAGAGAAAGATTCTGTTGAGTCTCCAAGCAAGATCTCTAAGTATAACATCTGCAACTACTACTTGAAAGGATCAAAACACTCTGTTCCGCAAAGGATCCTCAGCGAGCCAAGACTTTCTAAGCTGCATGAGTATAATCGAACAAGAATAGGGCTGAGCAAGGTAAAACAGGTCTTGAATTCATTGAGTTTTGGAGAAAGCTTAGCTCTAATTTATGCATAGTTTGGGATTTGTTTCATTAAATCCAATCTGTAGGCATAGAAAATTTTAAGAGAAATCCCCTGATAGAAAAGATTTAAGATTAAAGCATTAAAGTCTAAAAGTTAAGTTTAGTTAATTTTTCATGAAGAAGTAGTATAATGAGTTTCTTACAAAAAATTTAACTCATTCCTAAACCTCCCAGGCTAAGCCTGGCCTGTACAGTACAGGTTTCAGGAGGAAATTTAGGAGAATTTTAGGGTTTAAGCGGCTTTGAAGCGACTTTTTGGGAAAAATTGGAGTGATTTTGGGATATAGGACCAGTTTTGATCTGAGAAACATGTTTTTCAAGGTAGTTTTGAAGATTCTCTGAGGCTGTCGTTTAGTTCAAAAGATTGTCTTGAGTCTTCAAAGTCGAAGTATGCGATTCCAGTAAGTTGTTTCAGATTTGTACAGTAAAATCTTTATGGGTTTAAGTATAAGTTTTTGAACTTTTTCAAAGTGAATCTTAGTGGGTTCTAACTATTCTAGGAAATGCCTTTTCTGAACAAAAGTTACTCAGAATCTAGAATAAAGTGGAATGCTAAAGTCAGTAAAATCATTTCCAAGCGTGTTCGGAACAGGTCCAAACTCGTCAATAGCCAACAGAAACTAAATCTAAACAAAGGGTCTATTAAAAGCGTACTAAAGAAGATCTCAAGGGTCCGAAAATCGACCAAAACAAAATTATCTGACCTGTACAGACTAAATTCCCCAAAGATTGTGGGAAACTTCCAAAAATAATTTAAAGATTTACTCCTTAAATCCCTATTTTCAATATCTTTATCCTCGCAAGGGGTTTTGGGGTTTTGGGGTTTTGGGGTTTTGGGG